TTTTCAAAGTTATTATAATCGTCAAATGCCCTTTCTAAAGAAATTCTTCAAGAACAATCTCCAACCTGGAGTCTTGCTTGCACTTTCCAGAATTTTCAAGAATCCACCCACAACAAATTTACTCTCCCAATTCACAACCCTTATAAATACCCACAAGCATAGAATAAAATATTCGACGAAGAATTAGAGCCTAAATTTCTGCCTTCCAACTTTGTCTTGAAGTTAAATTCCCTAAAGAAAATATCTGTTTATCCGTTATTTTACGACCCATTGTTTCCCGAGCCCTTCGGATTTGGGAGTACTCCCAGTTCCTGCAGTAGTAGCATGGACTGGAAGGAAACCCCAGAAGCTCATATCTTCAAGTTTGATCTTCCTGGGGTTTCTAAAGAAGATGTAGAACTCCAGGTTCATGATGATAGAGTGCTGCACTTAAGTGCTGAAAGAAAAGACGAGGATCATAGTGGAAAGGGTAATTATAAATGGCACTGCAGAGAGCGATTTGATTCTGGGAATTTCTTTAGAGAGTTTAGATTACCAGAAAATGCAATTGTTGATGAAATAAAGGCTTCCATGCGTGATGGAGTGCTCTTGGTGACAGTGCCTAAAGATCAGCATAAGAAGAAGAAGAAGAAGCCCATGCATAAGGCTGTGGAAATTACTGGTGAGGGAGAAAACGCTGAATCTGCTAAAGGAATTTGGCGATTTGTTTGCTGCAAAGCTTGATTTGGATTATGTGTTCAAAAATCAGGGCGTTCCATTTTTGTTTAAATATAGAAATGCTTGTTGTAATTTGGTGAATTGAAGTGTTTTGAGCTTGCAAATAATTTTGGTGTGGTTCTTGTTTCTGTTGATTTGTAAGCAGATATGTTGGATGTTTGATATGTAATGCATTTGTAATATTCGAAAATCTCTTGTTTGCATTGCCTGATTATATATTAATAATTGCACACCCAAAAATGCCAGAAAAGCAAGTATTAACCACGTTATTTGTGTAATCCCTTTCTGGAAAAAATCAACAGATACTTGAGACTTGATTTTGAAATAGAGTGAACTAATAATTGTATCAACTTGGATGAGTTATAGGAGTAGCTGATTCCATCTATGAAGAGGGATACAGAGAAGGGGGATGCTCTATCTGTGATATTTTGTCTAAATTTCTTTTATTAATCTAATTGGAGTAAAATAGGAGTCGAATGGAATTTTTACTTGCGCGCTCTAGTGTACAATCCCCTCACATAAGGGGGGCTCGTGGTGACTGAAAAATTCTTGAACTGTCTTTAACGTGAAGGGGTTGTTGCATAATTCTAGTGTAGATGTAGAAACTCTTCAGGAGTCAATGAGAAGAACTTTTGAAGTTCAAGAACTTAAGCGAGGATTCATTCCCAAATAATATTTTAGATAAAAATTTAATAAAAAATCAGTCTTTGCCTGCCTGTGTTCATATTTATTAGAAGTAATTATAAATGCTTAATTAAAATAAGCGTATACGAGTTTATGTCGAATCCAGACTATATTATAGTACAGGGATCTATGAGAAGCTGGGGTAGATGTTTAGCAAAGCTTTAAAGATAAGTTAAATTATTTTTAACAAATTATATTGTTTCTCACTTTTTCTCCCCTCTGCACTCCCAACCCGCGATTAACTTCCTCAAGCTAATGAGAGGTCGGAGGCTTGAGGTCTAGGAATTAGTCTGACGAAGCTGGGAGACTTGGGTATCAAAAAAATAAATAAATAAATGCAATGGCAGGCCAATACACAAATTGATGAATTGTGTGATCGAGATAATAAAGTTTTGAATTCCATAAAATTATATAATTAAAATTAATATGATAGACTTTAACTAAATCAAATCGCTAAAAATGGACTATTAAGTGATTTCAAACTGGAAAATTTAGATTCTGTTTAGGAGTAATTTTTTTCTCAAAAAATTGATTTTTTGACCATCACTTCACTATTTCAGCTGTCATATTTGACTTCTTCTTTCACAGATGAACCCCACTTTTTTCCTAACGATCGAAAAATTAGTTCTCAAAATCACTCCCAAACAGACTTTTATTCTATTTGTTACACTGATCCACGTGCAGATGCTAATTTTGACTCGTAGACCTTTTAACATGTTGGCATGTCACCCACTGCAGTGATGCTTCTCACGTCTAATTCGAAAATCCCACAATCCACAAGCATATAAAAACTTCCAAGAATATGCACCCTTCACATTCAGAAGCACAAACTGCCAACAAAATAAATCAGTCCATTTCACATTGAAAGAGAGCCAACATGAGGTTGTGGTGGTGCTGTGTAATTGCCTTCGTCCTCACTCTTCATCTGCCCAATTCTGCAGCGCAGACGCCTCGGATTCGTAACAAGACTAAGCCACGGACAGCGCCAACGACTAGACCTGCAGCAGATCATCTGTCCACAGCATATTATGCAAAATCATGCCCAAATCTTGAAGCCATCGTCAATCAGAAAGTGAATGCTTGGATTAAACGGGATTCGACTATTGCTCCCAGCATTATCCGTCTGCATTTCCACGACTGCGCCGTTAGAGTAATTAATTTCGTTTTCTAATTTATGTTCTCTAACCAAAATATGATTTTTATTACCAAGATCTCATATAAGTTTGGGTTATGTCTCGGAGTCTAATCAAATAAGGTTAATTCTAGCGTCCTATGGACCGTGTCCGTGTCCCAATTGATTTTATATATGCCTTTTATGTTTTATAATGAAATTATGATATTTCCATTTGAAAACTAAAAGTGTATTTGATTGACATAGAAAATATTACTTAGAAATGAAAATGTTTTCCTTCTTTTGTAGAAAATAAAAACCACATTTACTTAAGGAAAATATTTTCCCTAAAAACAAGGAAAATTAGACATTTTTCAAAAGTTGAAAAATATTTTCTATGAAAAAAATAACAATCAAACACTCAAAGTAGGAATTTGGGTAGAAAACTGATATTTTCCATGAAAAAGAAATGTAATTAAACACACCCTAATAGTTTTGATGCCTAGTGTGGGGGTTTGGATCGTGTCTATTAACATCGAATAAAGATGGAAACATAGAAAAATGTATAAGGATTTGAGTCACTCCTCTTAATAAGTTTGACCATTTCAGATGAAACTGTAGGTCTTAATATGGTATCAGTATCCATTAAACTCCAATGAACGATTCGATCTAATTAAAATTTAAAAAAAAATGAGCATGAGAATTTCAATATTGTTTGCTCAAGTGAGCCACTATCTTGCGGTAACGGTGTCTAAGTTCCATTGCCGCTGATCATTTATGCACTTGCAGGGGTGTGATGCCTCAGTTTTGTTGAATCATCGAGGCAGTGAAAGGAGCGCTCATGCAAGCAAGACACTACGAGGGTTCACATTAATTGACGAGATCAAGGCCGAGGTGGAAAGGCGGTGTCCACGAACGGTCTCTTGTGCGGACATACTCACTGCTGCAGCTAGGGATGCAACTATTCTTGCAGGAGGTCCTTTCTGGGAAGTGCCATTTGGGAGGAAAGATGGACGGGTATTGTTGAACTACCTCATCTAAAAGTTTAAACCGTTATAGATCTTAAATTCCCTTTTTTTTCTTTTTTCCATTTAAAGATTGACAGGTGATGCCAAAATTTTGTCTTCAACAACAGGTATCTCTCGGTACAGAAGCCAACCTTGTTCCCCAGGGGCACGACAACATCACTTCCTTGATTGGCTTATTCCAAAAACTCGGTCTAAACATAGTCGATCTTGTTGTCCTCTCGGGTGCACACACCATAGGAAGAAGCAGTTGCTCTTCTATTCAGCAAAGGTTCTCCAACTTCAATGGAACAAGAAAATTCGATCCATCAATTGATATCAATTATCTGAGTTCTCTGAAGAGACAATGTAAATTGGGCACTAATTTTGTTAACCTTGATGTCACATCTCCAAGGACATTTGATGTGGCCTACTATACAAATCTTGAAAAGAAACTGGGATTGCTGTCCACTGATCAATTGCTTCATTCAGATTCAAGAACTTCACCTCTTGTTGATGCATTGGCATCTCAGGCACAGCTCTTTACAAGCCAATTTGCAGTGTCTATGGTGAAGTTGGGAAATGTGCGAGTTCTTACTGGCAAAATGCAAGGGGAAATACGAAGAAATTGCAATTTTGTCAATTCTTGAGCATTTGTATCTGCCTTAATGTTTCCATCGGTTGATTCTGCTGCTTCTTAATGTGTTTGGGAGTTTTTTTAACTTTATTATTATTGCTGTAACATGTTTGTGAGTTGTCAAGTAATTAGTATTGTATGAGTCTAGGGTAGAGGCATATATATATATATATATATATATATATATATATATGCACGATCTAGTTTTGAGACTGTCCGTGCCGGTCATGCACTAGACGGCACAATTCGGCCATTTCGTGCCAACAGTTCTTATAATTATTTTTCTTCTGTTGAAAATAATGAAATTGGAGTTTTTTATATAATTTTTTTTAATACACGATAGCACATGCAATAAGCCTATGCAACCACGCTTGGCCCAACTCTATTAAAAAGATGGATCATGTCATGATTTCACTAGTCAAGCCATTTTGAGTCTGGACAATCAAATATTTTGATATCCTAATTCTAAATCTCGATTCAAGCATCTAATTAAGCACTATAGTGACATCTTAACATATTCTAATTGACGTAGCGGAAGATTATAGGAAAGATGAATAATCACAAAATAAGAAAACTCTCAAGAAAGTTTTTATACTGCCACCTCAAAGGGCTTACAATGTCTTAAATAGAAAAAAAAATCTAGCAAATTTCGAAAAATAGTATAAAAAAAATATTTTTCCAAAATAGAAAAATATGAGATAACTATTAAGATGAAAAATCCTTATCTTCAGGATCATCCTCCAACAAACGGAATACAAATTCGAATTTTATGGAAAGAAATATTTCAAAAACAAAAATTACCATAAATAGCAAAAACGCTTAAACGAGGGATAGTTTTATTCATTGGCTCGATTCCAATCAATTAGACTTGCAATTCGCCAAAAAATGAACAAATTCGAAGTTATCATGAAATCAAAAACCATTATTTTGCCTTGCGACGGTCCCATTTCATTATAAACTCTAATCCTTTATGAACTTCATCACTAACCTAGTTTCAAATGAATAACAAGGCATTCACACTCCATCAAGATACGATTGATGTTAGTGATCTAGGGCTTAGGGGCTGGTCGAGTTTACAACCAATGCATTCCCATAATTGTCAAGAGATGTGACAAATTATCTATCTTGTAAAGGAAAGTAGGTTTTTCAAACTGAATTATTCCTAACCTTGAATCGATGATTGAAAATTGTAAATTGGTCTCTACTATAAAATTTTGTTCATAAGTGCTAATCTTTGAACTGTGACCTCTTTAATTTTCTAGTGGATGATTTAAAAAATGTAATAAAACCTTGTTCCATGTTTGGCTATATAGATTTTAAAACTCTTACATCTTGTATTGGGAGGGAAGATTTTTTTTTGTTGTAAATTTATAAAAATGGAAATTTAATTTTATTTATTAAAGTACAATATAATCGTAGACATAACAACTAGGTCGGACCAACCTCTGTTTTATACCATTTACTATTCTAAATATTGCATGCGTATCTAACTATCTAACTACTTATAGAAAGATGAATAAAATTTACTTTAGTTGCAATAGTGCTCGGGACTTCTACTATAGCTAAAGAGTGATTTCGCTGTAAATATTAGCCATACCTATTTTTTCTTACTCAAAAGGATGGTGAAGCCATTTCCCCATGCAAACCCATTTTCTACAGACAGAAGCTTTTTTCTTCATCATCATTATTTTCTTCTCTCACTTCATCTTTAATTATTCTCTCGTTTTTTCTGTGATTAATCTCTTCATACAAAATTCTCGTGAATAGAGAGGTAAATCCTGGCATGCCGTTTTTCTCAGATTATGATTTTGTTTATTCAAGATTCTACGTGCAAAATTTTTGATTTCGAGTGAATAGAGAGTTATATCCTCGGTTTTATCTGATAATTATAATTTTGTTTATTCGATTCACAATTTTGGATTTTTGTGTGAATAGAGAGATATATTCCTGATTTAATGTAAATTAAAATGTTTATTAGCTTGTTAATTCATTTATGTCTCTTGTCTATCTCATGCATCAGCAATCTTGACAAAAATTATGAAGTATGACTTCTTATAGCACCGTGCAGGGACTCCGCATGGTCTTGGTGCGGAGTCCCCGCACGGAATTGGTGTGGAGTCCTCGCACAGACTGTGCGGGGACTCCGCACCAATTCGTGTGGAGTCCCCGCACGGCATACCGTTTTTCTCAGATTATGATTTTGTTTATTCAAAATTTTACATGCAAAATTTTTGATTTTGAGTGAATAGAGAGTTATATCCTCGATTTTATCTGATAATTATAATTTTGTTTATTTGATTCACAATTTTGGATTTTTGTGTGAATAGAGAGGTATATTCCTAGTTTAATGTAAATTAAAATACTTATTAGCTTGTTAATTCATTTATGTCTCTTTTCTATCTCATGCATCAGCAATTTTGACAGAAATTGTGAAGTATGGCTTCTTGTAGCACTGTGCGGGGATCTGCATGGTCTTGGTGCGGAGTCCCTGCACGGAATTGGTTGTGCTCCCCGCACAGTCTGTGCAGGGACTCCGTACGAATTGGTGCGGGGTCCCCACACAGTCTGTGCGGAGTCAAAATTATAAATTATCTTTTACTTACATTCCCACAATCTCAAATTTAATTTTTACTAACTGTCAAAGAAGATTCATGCCGAAAAATTTAATTCAAACATCAAAAACATGTTAGGATTATGCCATGAAAACAAAAATCTCTACATCACGCTAATAAAGGCACATTAAATACAATAATCGTACAATGCACGTGGCATCGACTAGTAGTTATAAAAAAATTGACTAAATTGGTAAGTCTGACCCAGAAATAGAACCAGGTCATGTAACTTCCTTGAACCAAGCCGCATGAGAACCTATCAGAGACTGTTCGAACCGGCTAGAGTTTAGAGAGCTGTGCGCCTCATTGAACCAATATCGACATTTCCACACTAATTTAATTTATTTATTTTTTCTTTTTAAATGTTTTTGTCTTGTTACCCTGTAGAGTGCCGACAGTGATGATATACTGAGATTCATTCCTTTTATTTTACTAGTTTAGGCTCCGTGCAATGCACGAATTGTATTATTTGAAGGGTGATATTAGCATTTTCAATTTTGATAATTGTATAAAGTAAATTATGTTCAAAGCGGGAGGAGTAATGAACAAGTTTTTAATTAGGAAACTGTTGAACAAAGATATGTGTTTATATTCGTAAAAATTGAGATCTTCTTGGTTGTTTATGTTATCCTTTTGAAAGTGTATGTTGTTGTTGGATGGAAATGGAGATCTAGAAGTAAAGCACAAATTGAGAAAAAGCAAGAGGCGCCATTTATCACTTATATACTACATCTAATATTTTTTGAAAATAATAATTGGTACAATGTTAAAAGTTAAATATTTACATGTCAATTATTTGAACGAAGGGGTAAATAAGCTAAAGGTTTATTAAAGAATGTTGTACATATTTTACTTTTTTTTAATGCTATACATTGAGAAAAAGAATCTGATAAAGATAGCTCAATTTATTTTTTTTGCAGAATATATATGATGAGAAGATTGCACTATCTCTAATTTGGTTAAGTCGTCGAGTGATATATTAGATTTCTCATCTTTTTTTTGTTGTCATCTACAAATGAAATAGAGTTAGTAAAAAAAAACACTCCTCGAGTTTGAAACAATTGTCCTTTATACATGTTCCTCTGAACTTATTCTCATAGTATCCATTGCCTTCTTTGTTTCTATATACTCTCTGGATTCATCAAGTTCGTCTAACTCGTAGCAATTTGATTGATTAAATAACGGAACTTTTTGGATTGCCCAACTTCATTTTTTTAATAGCCTGAAAGTAAAAAAAGGAAAAAAAAAAGAAAAAAAAAGAGATTAATCTGGAATTAACTCGAAAACATAAGAGAGTACATAAATATATATTTTTTAAACAAATTAACATGAAATTAAAAAAATGTGATGACTTATGTGAAGGATGTGTTGACCTAACATTTACAGGCGAACTCAATTTAATCCCTTGGAGCATTGTAATCCTGGTTTTTCCTTTTGATTAATAAGAAGATATTCCTCGAACGATGGGTCATGTTTCTAGGAAGAAAGCGGGCAGATTTTTAAATTCTGTTTTGCCACTTATATCAGAAATAAAGGAGACAACCATGAGCTGGTACAGTAAGAAATAAAGAATAACTTCAGTGCCAATAGCCCTTCATCAGCCAAGGAAAAATATTCTACACTGACGAAAAGACTGTGATTGCACATTCATCAGATTCAAAGATTCAAGACCTAATCACTTTAGTAATAAATAGCACCCGGAATCAACCAATTATATGATCACCACTGCCTAGAGAAGCAGGATTGACAGAATTCAATTATATGGACAAGCGATATCTAGAAGAAAATAGGACAAGAATGGCTCAAAGCCTTTGCTCAATATGGCCTTCGATTTAAATTTTTAAAAGCTTGCAATTAATATATAGTTTGCTCTGTACTTACCACCTACTCACAATAAGCATAATAATATTGAGGAAATCTCCCAAGAATTTCCACCAGAGATGTTTGAGTTGCATCTAAGAAGAGAAATATCATTTCCTTTACACAAATATCAGGCTGTACGAACAGTGATAAAAAAAAAATTACTTCTATTAATTTAATCAATAAATGACTGAGAATAAGACATGGAAAATAATTTCTACCTTTTTTTAACTATCATCACAAATATAGGAAGAATATCCATCCGTGGCTGTGCCTATAACCTGATGATGAACATGTTCTCCAATATTGTTCATCAACATCTCAAGAAGCTGTGAATCCAACAAAAAACAAAGTCTTATCAATGTTTCAAAGCAAGTGGTCTGGGGGACATATATAATCCATCGCAACTAAAAGAGATCCATCAAAAAAAGCAAAAAATTTATATACCCTACAAGTACTGTAAACAATTGTGTGTTTGAATCTTTGTTTTCTAGGTATTCTTTATAACTTTTACAACAACTTTAACTTGTCTGTATTACAAAAATACATAAAATAGTGGTGAAGTGGGTAGTGACATTCAAAAACACAGTTAATGTTAAATTAAACAACACTAACCTTGTCTTAAGAATTAAACTTCATTAACCAGATAAAAGTAACTTCAGCACCATTTTACAGACTTAAACAATAAAAGCATTTTCTCCTTCAAATTCAAAACCACTATAATAGATATTGAAATTGAACATTTAGAGTACAAAATTAATAAATGAAGATACATCAACTCCTGTTAAAGTATACGTGGATCACCAGCTTACTGAGTACCTTTAGCTTCTGGTACTCGATGCATCTAGCTAATAAAATAATAGTTAGGTGGGGTTGAATCTTCAAGTTTGATATTGACTATGTTCGAAGGAACCAACATTGAGGCTTTTTCCTCATTCCATTTCCCATTTCGTAAAACCTGAAGTTGGAACAGATTTAATGTCTCATATTTGCCACCGAAGAACCTACATTTATTCTAATGTATAGAAATATTTAAAATAAGTAATTTTGAAGCTATGAATATAAGATTATAGATTGAATTTTGATAAAGGAATCTTACTGAATTTTCATAATTTGTTATGGTTAGGATAAACATTGACGTAAAAAATATTCATTGTGACAGATATCTGTGATAATCTTTTGACTGTATAAACGTATCTTCTCTGGTGAAACTGCTTCTAATAGATATTCGAAAATGAAGCATTCAATGTATTTGAGAAGGAAAACTTCAGAATTTGGCCTATAGAAAAAATAATTTGAAGTTAGTTTATGTTAATGTTGTAAATGTAAAATAAAATTAAATAGAAAATTAAATATTACAGTAAATTGTTTAGATGCTTACCCATTATTTTGACAAGGTAGATACGATATAATTTCTAATTTCATATGTTTATTTCTATGTTTTCTTAAACTTGGTTTGTCGAAGAAAATATATGTAGATATCAATAATGATTGTACTACAGTCAAAGCTGGTTCTGCACATAATTTAATTACGTCCGGTATATGAATGTTGTGGCTGCAATCATATACATGAAATTTCCACTTTTGAAAGTCGACAAGAAAAAGAAACCAAATGTTGCCTGGATATGTGGATGGAATCAATAAATGGTTGTATGTTATCCACGAACGAGCAAATACAGGTAATTTTCCTTTTATATACTGTTGTAATGCATTGAAATTACTTGTAGAATGGGCAGCTGCTCCTTTTATAATTGTATACCAATGAATACATTCATTCTCGAATCTAAGGTCCATGATTGCATATTCTTTAGAAAGCGGGAGAGATCCATCGTGAATAAGTCTTCTCAACAGCTTTAATTCTATATCAATATGCTAGTAAAAAAATGTAAATTAGATATATTAATAATGGAGTAAAATTAATTATGATTACTAAAGTTGACTTACCACAATATTCATATCTTTCGTTTGATTTATTATATTTATCAGCGACTGTCTTCCGTATAGATTGCCGATTTCATCTTTCCAGTATGCGCTGTATAAGAAAAAATTAAATTGTCGTCAAATAAGTAAAATACAAATTAGAATATTTAAGTTAACGAGGTTAAATTAAATATCTTACTCTGATGAATTTTGTGATATCTATTCTCTAATGTTTTTGTATCTGTCGATGTTATAGTCTTCTAAAATATTAGTTGACGTTGATGGAGATTGTGTCTATTTCTGCTTACCTTTTTTTTTCTTTTGTCGATCTTTCAATGTTTTCTATATGTTCAGATGTTGAAGAGATTTCGAATTCAACTGGACTTATATGAGGAGGCACATCTCGTTGTACAGGGGCTACAATTGTTTCCATGTGTGATTTTCAGTCGGATAACTGATTCTGCATATTTCGATTTTATTAATCAATGTAAGACTTCGTTAAATCGAAACTGGTATCCACATAAGATTGCATATTAGATTGTATGCCCTGGAAGTAGTCTTGTTCGTCTTTTTGCTGATGTTCAAGAAATTGTTTCTTATTGTCAAGAATTGTCTAACAGAGAGCTTCTTGCTTTTCAAGAATTGTATGATACTAATCTTCTTGCTTTGTTGATTCTTGAATCATCTGTATTTTTAAGCTGTCGTGGAAACCAAAGACATCTTGTCTGTGTATATTGAATATATGTTCCATATCTTGTTTAGTTACATAGTTTGAGTTACCAGAAGAAGTAGATTCAATTCCATCTGAAGCGTGGATAGATCTTTCTTGTGTATGTATGTTATCTGCTGGAATTTTTTGTGTTACATTGTCCAATTCACCATTGACAATGTTGTCCAGTGTACGATGTTGGTTGTCAATTGGTAACGAAAGATTTGTATACCAGAATGTTTCCAATTCTACGTCAGTAAGATTTAGCATTGCAATTACTGTAATCTATAATTGTAATAAAATATCAGATGTATTTTTTAAATTTATTTATAAAGAATTAAATATGTATTTAATTGTTTATTGAAATAAATATACCTCTTGAGCATCCAAAAATTATCTAAACACGTTCCGTTAATACTATTTGAGGCTGCCATTTATGCATTCGTGGACATTTTAAGCTTGTACGGATACAATGACCGAATTTTCATCTAATTTGAGGAAAAGCTTCATATATCCAATACTGAAATATAAGTAAAAATAAATATTAAAGTTTTTATATGACTAAATTATATGTAATGGGGAAAAATGAAAGAAAAATACCTGGAATGGAAGCGGATAATCATGCAACGAATATTTACAGTCTGTTTGATCATTTTGTTGTATTCTTCGTATTCTTTCAAGCTGCGATTCTTATAATGAATTTAATAAAATAAAGCATGTCTTACGTCCCCATGGATACATAAGGAACTCATCAAGTTGTTCAACCATTTCAAGAGTTCTGAAATCGATGTGTCTTCCAGTTGGTTTTAAAACCCATTTGACGAACATAACTAATCCCAACTTAAATTTATTTTGTCGATCTTGACACATATGAAATACTTCAGAAAGTTTTATCATAGTAATTCTCTTTGAACCATTGAAATATTCATCCCTAAGTTGAGTATTACTAAAATCGAGATTAACAGTAATTTCATGGCATGGTAATCCAGTGATTAGACAAAATTCTTGCAAGCCAAAACGGGCTACATGATCGTGTAATTATACCTAAATTTCGTTATTTTTACCGCAATTTATAAGTCTCATTATGAACTCATGTATTAATTTGCTGCTAAATTTTTCATTTTGCTTTTTATACATACTTCCGCAAATGAATCCATGGAATGGACTGCACAATAAAGAAGCTTGATTGTCTGCATCTATAAGTTCAACAAAGTCTTTAAGATATTGATGATTTGCAAATTGAGTAATCGTAGCAGAGAACCATTGATTTGGAGATAATATGTATTCTAATAACATCTGCAAAAATTATTTAAAAAAACTATTTATTAGTCAAAAAATTTATTCATATACTAATCTAACATAATTTTTTAGAAGCTGGCAATTTTTTTTTATTATGATGAATGATATTTTACATACTACAACTTTATTAAAAATAAATTTAAAATTATATCTATACTATTTGAAGCATTATTTTTTGTCGTTGATCTGAAACTGTATATGTATTGTGATAGAAATGACAGTTAGTTACAATTTTATGAAACTTTATCACATTTTCATATCTGAAACTTAATAGTACAATATATAGATGGAAACAATATAATTTGCACTATAATTGATATACCGTTTAAATAAAGAAATTTTGTGAACTTTAATAATTGCGCAATATATTTGAAGAAAATGTTATACAAGAATTTATGAAATTGGAATAAGTCAATAATGATGGGTAATGATAGTTATCAACCATAGACATGTATAAAATATAGAAAAACGAGAATTTTGATTGAGTTCATTATTTTCATTTTTAGACAAAATGGTCATTAATTAATATGTATCATCTTAATAAATTAAAATGAAGATATGTATGCTTGTCAAAAGCTTTCTAATAATTGCGTTAATTATGCAGACAAAAACAATGGTATAATATAATTGATGATTATGTTAAGTAAAAAATTAGTTAGTTAAACAAGAAGATTTTCTAGTGTTAATAGACAAATGAAATTTTCCACATTAGGTGTGTTAGTTGATCTCAGAAAATACATGTTAATTCTATTGAATTTTTATTTTTTTGAAGTGATAAATTGGAAAAACCTAAATTTTATATCCAAAAGGGATTAAAATAATTTTTTTAGAAGGAATGTTAAATTTTGTTTAAATATCATTTACTCAGATCATCAGTGTATCTGAGATCCTATTTAGAATATAGTTGGAGAGTATTTTTTAAAGGCGAATATCAGTTTTATCGCGGAGTGCACTCCGTGCAAAGTGGAGTAGCTCTGTGCAGCGCGAAGTCGCTCCAGGCAGCGCGGAGTCTTCACACTCCGCGCAGAGCGGAGTGTGGGCATTCCCACTCCGTCTTGCGCGGAGTGCTACACTTCGACGTCTTCTTAAGGTAAAAAAAGAAAAAAGAAAAAAAAATTAATGCGCGGAGTGTGGGCATTCCCACTCCGTCTTGGGCGGAGTGCTACACTTCGACGTCTTCTTAAGGTAAAAAAAGAAAAAAGAAAAAAAAAATTAATATGGGCATGTCGTACTGTAAAACATGATTTTAGTGTGCTACCTTAAACTATCATAGGAGAACTCAACACTACAGATTTAAGCTTGAATTGCAAAAAATTTGAAGATCATTTGTATAACTTTTTAACATAATAGTATTCATAAATAGATTTTAAATTTATTTTTATCACATGAAGGTTGCCTTTTTGCTGTAGTCGATCACGCAGGAAGCTTGATTAGGCAGGAAGCTTGCAAAATGCTTGCCAAAAAGAAAATGGTTAAAGGTGAGTAGTAGTTCGAATGTTTATGTAAATGGACGAAGGATAGATGTTGGTAAGTAAATGTTGGTAGTTGAAATGTGGGGTGAGTAAATATTGGTAGTTCAAATGTGGGAGGAGTAAATACTCGTAGTTGGAATGTGTAAATGCAAATTGAATTTGAATATAGTTTATTTCCATTCATTTAATTAAGTATTTAAGCATTGGAACGAAGTGTTTTTAATGTATTCAAAATTGTAAATATTTAGTCATTGCATAAAAAATTACTAATTGGTAAATAAAATTTATAAAGATAGAAAGAATCTGTAAAATTGAATAAATTGTTATACATTAGCAAAAGTAATAGAGTACGTATTTAATGGTTGAAATTTTATTTTGTTTCTTATTTAATGTTTTATAAATTCAGTCACTAAGCGAAGAAGTATTTGTGTAGTCGAAGCTGCAAAATGTAATTTTACAAAAATATAAAGATGGTTCGCACAAGATGACAGACTATACATTGAAACTTCCTAAGTTTCTAAAGTAACAAACTATTCTTAGTTGACATATTCTTGCTAGGAAATTTATTGTTCAGTATTGCAATCCAAAAGCAGTCAACTAATTCAAAGGTACAAAACTAATTCACTAATTTTAAAGTTTGTGAAGTTGGCTTATCATTTGTTTCATAGCTTTTGCGAGACATTTTTTTGTTAGTGAAGTTTCAATTGGAAAAGATTTGAGGAGTATTCTATAAAAATCATTTTTCGTGTTGCATAATTTCTTCAATGTAATATATTGGCTAAAATACATATTTTTTATATGATAAATAAATTCTACAAACATTTTTGTAAAGATTACCTTTTTCAGCTGTTGATTACGCGGCTGCTACGGTGGCGAACTTTAGTTTTGGACGCTTAACAAATCTAGAAATGAAATGCTTGTGAAAAACAGAATACTTAAATGGTTGAACGTGGGTAGATAGTTTTTATATACTGTTTTAAACGTTAGGGATAGGTGTGAGTATGTAGATATTTGGTAAATAAATTTTGGGAGTTGCAATATTTAAGTGGTTGTATGTGGTAGTTGCCAAAAAAAGAATAATTAAATAATTGAATGAGTAAATGTGGTAGATAGCGTTTTTAATGTTCGTAGGTGAACATTAGTGAATAAATATTGACGAGTAAATGTTAGTAATTGAAATGTGTATGGTTGTATGTGAGTAATTGAAAAAAAAATAACAATTATTAGTTGAATGTGGTAGATAAATTTTATATAATGTTTTGGACATAGATACATATTTTGATATACTTTTGAATGTTGATAGATAGACGTTTGTAGATAAATGTTGGTAAATAGGCGTTAGAGACAAATGTAATGTAAATGTAAATTTAATTTTAATACAGTTCATTTTAATTGATTTAAATTATATTGGATTTGCGTTGCAATTATGTGGTCTTAATCTATTTAATGTGTTTGCTAAAAAGAGAATAGTTAAATGGTTAAATGTGGGTAGATAGTTTTTAATATCTCTTAGCATTTTATCTGCAGCTTCAATAGCACACCGATTTACCATAGGTGCTTCATCCCAGATTATTAACTTACACATTTTCAACAAAACTTCTAAAGCTGATTGCTTACTAACTGAACACCTTACTTCACCAATTATTTCTAAAGGAATTTTAAACCTTGAATGATCAGTTCGACCTCCAAATAAAAGAGATGCTGATACCCCAGAAGATGCAGTTGCCAAAGCAATAAAATTTTGAGACCTTACAGCAGTTAGTAATGCTTTATATAAAAAGGTTTTACCTGTGCCGCCTGGACCATCAATGAAAAAAGTAGCACTTGATTCCGATGTTATTTTTTCCATAGTTGTATCATATGCAAATTGTTGTTTGTCATTTAAGCTTGATGCACAAACGTGGCCTCCTTTGAGATTCAAATTTGTTGTTTCATCTTCAACCATTCTTCTTAATCTATCATTCTCATTTATATCTACATTGAATGGTACAATTTTATAGTCGTTTATGTTTTTGCCTAAGGATTCTAAAATACAGTTAATATCCTCTAGAGCCCGTAGTTCAGCAACATGTGAAGGTATATTTCTATGTACATAATAATCAATTATATAAGATTTGAATTTATTCCACAATGACTTTGGATCATTAGGGTTGCAGAGCACAAAAAGAGTAGCAAAAAGACGTCTTAAACAAATAGGCATTTCATAAATAATAGATTCGGATAGACATTCTTTACAATGGTTATCTCCACTCAATAAACCATGTAGAAGTGCTGCTTCTCGATACGTGACAACAGTAATCCCATTTGAAGTTCGTAAATCTTGAAATGATGTTGGACCTCAAATATTCATAAGAACACGAAGATAATATCGTTCTCCTTCAGATGGATTTACTGTAACAATTCGTTCTATAACAACTTGTTTCTTTCTACGAGTCCAAACTTTTTTGTTCGTATTCCAAACGAAATGTGTTGAAAAATCTCGGTACAAAAATGTACGCGCGAACTCATTTTCTTCATTCATTCGAAAGAATTCTGTTAGTATTGTTTTTCTTGTATTTTCATTTTGAACAACAGTATATAAATTATCTTCATTGTCATACATTACTTGCTGATGATTTTCGATATGAAGCTATAAAGAATAGACTATCGGACAAATTTCTAATAGATTGAACAAGAAAATTCTCCACATAGTTTCTGGTGGAGATATCCATCTAGTAGAATGATAAGCAGAAATTTCATCTATTTCTTTTTTATTTCATTCATGTGAACTGAAAAATTGATACGATCATATCCTTTGTAAACATACTTGTACAAATATTTGACAGCTTTGATAGAAGAACATACTTCGACATTAATATGATAGTCAAATTTTGCACTTAAATAAGGATTGTATTGTACAACCCATCGATTGTCTAACATTTTGCCTCTAACTCGAACAGAAATATTAATATCACGACGCTTATACAATGGATATGAATCCTGACCGAATACAGTAATATTACAAAAATCTCTAGGGTATTTATTTTTACAATCTTAATTTCCCTCCATGCATGTATTTTTAGAATTCAAATTTCCACAATGACCATGCATATTGTGTCTAACAATAACAGAATGAAGATGAGGTTATTTCATTTTGTCAGGAATTTCGCATGACACAATTCTATTAACTTCTTCAACAGAAGTGATTTTATTTCCAGAGTTAAATATTAACAATATATAAGCATGAGGAAGACCTCTTTTTTGAAATTCAATCACATATATATGTGCAATAACAGGCCCTAAAATGCTTGCTTTATATAAATCATGTTTTAATTCTTCTAATTTTGCTCTAAATATACGTACAATTAAATCAGGTCAATTTTGAACTTCGTCATTATTCTTTAGTTCTTGCTTAATCTCTGGCTAATTTGGATTACACGTTATAGTTAAAAATATATCCGATTTTTCATAACGTTGTACAATGGCCATTCCATCCATATATCTTCTTAGCATATCACGAGACCCATATGTAAAAGAGTGCGGTAAAACAAAATTTTTCCAACTTTACATCCTCTAGTTTCCCCATTTTTGACACTATCTACAATACCTTGGTAAAGTTCAGCACGAATTTGTTTCTGATTATTACGAAAATAGTCTAACCTGACAGTTTTAATCTTAACGTACATATCTACAATATATTGTTGAAATAATCTACCAGCGTGAAGTAACACAGACTTACCAGAATGCCTAATTTGTAATTTATATGAATAGTATTCTCGACAAGATACCTGAGTGCGTTTCTTCGCTTCACTGAGCACTACAGAACCAAATACAAACCAAATTCAACATTTATTAATAAGATAAGATACTAAAAAAATATAGAGAACTCTAATAGAAGATATATTTGCAAACTTTCATTCTCTTTTTCGATAATTTCAGTTGTAGAAGTAGTTATGTTAAGAATAACATCAGATGTCAACATATGTTGAGGCTGAAAGTATATACTTCTGCATCTCTCAATGCCTTCATGTCAACCAGATTCCCCATACAGAAACAGTAACGGATATTGCAATGAATCATAACACCCATAATAGTAATGAACTTTGTGTGAATCGTCAGAATGGCCGTATATAGAAATGTCATGAGTACGAACATTAGTATTTTCATTATCTTCGACCTATAAATGGCCGTATATAGAAATGTTACGAGTACAAACATTAGTATTTTCATTATCTTCGACCCATATAACAGCTACTTGAGATGTTGTAGGAGTACTGAAAACTCTTTGATCAAATCCTGGATCGCATCTATTTGTATTTGATGATCATGCAAGTTAGTGACATCACTTAACGACCTAAAAAATTTACTATATGGATTTGTTTTTAAGATTTCAATTAAAGCAATTAAAGTAGATTCAACAAAGTTTGATGAAATGTTCATACGATTTTGAACTTCATTTTCTGTATCGTAAAAATATAATTGTATATAAGAAGGTGTATTATTTTTCGGCATAAGGTCACTTCCATAATGATGTACTTGTCCTTGAACTCTAAATGTCTAAATATCTTTATACGTTTTAAAAAGTTCCTTATCGTACTTCACACCAAATGAAGTGAAAGCAAAATGATTATTATATCCCCTTACAATTTTTTTAAATTCCGTACAATGTAGTTCTTTAGAAGTAAATATATTATATAATTCAACCGATGAATCACATATAAAGAGTTTAACTTTTCCATCAGAACAACAAAAATCCTTACTTTCTCTATAAAATTTGTGTGCATTACAATGTTTATAGTAGCTGAATGTTGGTAATACATATGCAGTAGATAGTACGTTCAATCCTTTGAAAGTTTCTCCTAATTCAAAACTGACAATATTATGCATTTCTTGATCTAAAGTTGAAGCTTAAGGATGTTGATGCATTATAGATTCATCTAAGTTGCGATCAATAAAATCATTCTTTTCAGATATCATAGGATCACTTCTCCTTTTATGCTAATCACTGCAATTATTTCTAAGTCTTTTTCACCTCTCTTTCTCTTTTTGAACTCGTTGTTGACGAATGAACGCTCTATGTGACTCATTTCCACTTTCGGGCGTAATGTCAAAGTTAACAATAACACGGTCTTCATCAACAAACGTTTCCAAAATATCCATTATAATAACAAAAGAATTATTGTAGATTTCAACTGCAATGGAAGGAGCATGATGTAAAAAAATTGAAGAACATTATTAGCAAATGTATTAAACCATTCACAAACGAAGACTAAACTAATTAGCTAAATTAATTGGTTACAATAAACTCTTAAAGACATTAAATTGTTTAAATTTTCTAACAATATAATAATTATATAACATCAATTACATAAAGATTTAAATATTAATGATAACCAAGCATTTGTGGAAAAACTTTCAACAATGGAGAAAAATAATTGTAAAAAATAAGATTAAAAAATATATAACTATAAAAATAAGTAAAGTCAATTACAGGAATGAATAAAAAAAAAATTCTGTGTCGACATACAAGAACAAAATTATATAATAATCATTCCAATACTTTCGAACAAAATAAATAAATTTATATTTAAAATTCAAACAATGTATAATGAATTTGATATATAACCCGTCAATTTATATCTTTATTATTTATTTTGAGGAAATTGTAATTAATCATAGATATTTCATAATTTTTCTTCATCAGCACATGCATATCGACCTCAATAGTATGTGTCAAAATATTGTTTAAGTGATATCAAAAAATTAAGATAAATTGTTAGTATACTGAATAAACACAATTAAGAGAAAATAATGTATTACATGTGTGAAACCCAAACCGATTATAAAGAAGTGATTAAAAAGACAAAAAAAAAAAATATATATATATATATATATATATATACACACACACACACAGAGAGAAGTATTT